AAAATGGATGTATGTGTGTGTGTGTGTGTGTGTGCGTGCGGATACAAATTTTTGTCGGCGATTTCAGGAACATTTTACAAATTTGAATAATTCAAAAAACATTTTACTTGTATTGACAAGATGAAGAATTGATCAAATTTTCATGAATGCAGGTCTAGCGGTTTCGGAGATCTAATGAAAAAAGTAAAAAAAATGCCATTTGGTGGTCAAAAATGATCATTGAACATATGCACGTCCAATTATCAGATATTTTATAGAGATTTTAACAATAAGTATAATTTTTTTTTACATTTCTTTGGGTTCCGTACCAATGCTTATCCGTTAGACGGCGGCGCGACACTTACGCGCTTTGACATTTCGTCTCTATGCAGTTCAAGCAGTACGATTGCTTTGAAAAAAGTTCAGAATTTCCAAAATATGTCAAAATAAAGAAAACATTTTTTTTTTCAAAAAAATTTTGTTTTCAAAAAAAAAAATTATTTCAAAGAAAGTAATTTTTTGTCAAATTTATATTTTCTCAAAAATCTAATTTTTTGAAGTAAAATTTTTTCATAAACGTTAATCGTTTTTAAAAAAATAATAATTTTTGGTACGGGAAGTTCCAGCAATTTGCCTTAAGGCACGATGCTCTAATTGCCTTAAGACAGAATTCCACTTACAGCTAGTTTCTGTTATATAAATGGAATAAAAGTACAGATAAACCCCGTATAGCACACATATAGGGCGCGGAATCACTAAGACGCTGGTATGTATATTATGTATGTATGCAGAGATCTAGGGACATTCCTTTAAACACGGTAGTTTTGATTCGATTAAGGCAGTGATCTTTTGAAATATAACCATTATATAACATACATATTAATAAAACGAACAAACATCATAAGTTATTAAATTAATATGAATTCTATGAATTGCAATTACTCGAAAATACGTTACCGATGAATGCAGTAGCTTTCTAATAGTTTAATACAGTTTATTAAACACTATTAAAATTATATTCAATATCGTGTGATTTTGAATCGTTCTTTCAGTTTTTCAAAGAACATGGCTCCATTTAAATATTCACCCAAAACCCTAAAAAAGGCTTTAAAAGAAATTCGCAATAGTATATTAACTGTTTTTTAAAGCTTCTAAAACACACTCTTTTTAAGACAAATTTTCAATCAAACCTGATTTAGGCTAGTTGGCATTGTTAATTTAAACGACTTTAAAGATTATTTGCATTTGTTGGCAAAATTGTAACTTCTATTTCAAGTTTAAATTTTTTATTTTGAGTTTAAATTTTATATTTATTTGAAGTTAATATTCTTGTCTAATTGCCGTTAAAAATTATTTCGTTATTGTTTTATATTTTTTATAGAATTTATTCATTTAGCAAAACTTTCAGTATTGATAATGATTATTATACTATTACTATAATAATACCTACTTTTATTTTACTTTTGTTTTGGAAGTGTTTCAACTTCTTATATTTTTATGATTTTTATAAATCTAAATTAAATAAATGTTTAAAATTATATCAACGTATTATTTTTTAATTAACCATATTTTTTATAACCATTTCAAGTATATGATCAATATGATCAAAAATGTATGCTTCAAGTGCTATCACGAAATAGTGTACAACGGCTACCGGCATTATGTTCACGAGCCGAATTTTATCACGGAATTAGGGACAAATTAGTGGTTCAGCAAAATGCCGATTATTTATCAAAGCAATATGATCAAAAATGTATGCTTCAAGTGCTATCACGAAATAGTGTACAACGGCTACCGGCATTATGTTCACGAGCCGAATTTTATCACGGAATTAGGGACAAATTAGTGGTTCAGCAAAATGCCGATTATTTCTATAAATGAATTTCTATGCCGCAAAATTTTAGTCTATGATGATCTTATAAGTCTTATTTATGGAATACAACAGTTTCAGCTCGTTCACTCTCCTACTTTTTTTACAAATCATCTTTAAAGTCAAACGTTTCTCAACATCCCGTAATATGGTACATTTACCTTATTCACTAAATTTCATTAAATATTTATATTAATAAGTTAAGAAAGTGTAGAAATTGTTCCAGAAGATTAATTGTGATATATATTTAAACTGGCAGTGTGTTTGTAGATTTATATTTCGATTTAATTGTATATTTATTATAATATAATAATATCTAGTAAATTTTTGTTGTTATTGTATTACAAAACACTAAACATAATACGAGTGTAATACCAAATTTAGTTTCAAATACCCGATTATTAAAATTCATGAATTTCCAATTCAAATTTTGAGCCATTAATTTGAATGCCAAAAGCAGCGCCTTCACGTCTGGGTGTAGGACCATTTAACTTCACTTCTGAATCTAAAAATCGGAATAGTCTATATCTATGTTTATATATATCTCTGCATTTATGTTTACTTATCTATGGTCTATAATATAGACCATATATATATATATATATATATATATATATATATATATATATATATATATATATATATATATATATATATATAGATATAGACTCTATATGAATCATCATATTATAATATTGTCTAGGCTAGTGACCATAGTTAAATAAGCATAAAAAAATAAATAGTAACTCCACTAGCCATAGATAAATAAGCATAAATAGATCGCTATGTCTGGCGATTTGACGTTTCCTTGATTAAAATGTAAAACTTTGATTATAGATAGCAGCACATGTACATTTTGAAAATAAATTCCTGGTATTACTTCTACATGTGTTCATGTAATCAATACAGCCTGAATCAAAATTTGAATGAATTTTAATATTGGAAATAAGAACAAAACACAAAATATATTTTTAAATATATCAGACATATTTTTGAAAAATTATAAACTAAACAGAAATAACTGACTAATATTAATTAAAATATATTACATATCTTTAAAGTGCTACAAATTAAACAAAAATAACTAAACGCACAATTTTTTGGAAAAAACTCGAATTAACTCGAGCGTGCAAGTTAAAAGGTTAATTAATAAACTTAAACTTAATTAAACGCTTAAAAAGTAAGAAGAGAAGAGCGCAGTATTGAAAATGGAATGACAAATTTCGAAGGAATTGACAATTGTTTTACTTAAGTAATGCAAGAATTTAGAAAGACATATTGATACTAAAATTGAGAGAAAACTAAATTCCTAGGATTAAAATTCATTTACAAGACATTTTTCTTTATTATCTCTGCATTTAATAGTATTTTTACTATGTAATCAATTAATAGAATAAATAGAATTAATAGAATTGCATTTGATGAAATCCTTGAATAGTTTCTGTGTATGAGTTTTTTTTAAACATTACATTCACGCATGTTATGATTATGATGAAAACATTATCACTAAAACTGTTATAAAAGATAAACTATAAAACTATGTGTTTTCAATAAACAGAATAAAGTTTTATGCCCTTTATGCCTTTGAAGACTTTTAATACAGATTCAAAGCAAGAATTTTGTCCTCCGCTGTGAATTTTCTTATTTCCTTTGAAAATGGTATTTAGAATTAAAATTACTTTCTTTTCGCTGGATTTGCACGCTGTTGTGGCTTTGTATTAGATTGTTTTTTTACCCTCTATCAGAATTATCGCCTTATTCTACATCAGGATGTTCTTCTAGTCATGACTGTGAGGAGAGAACTCTTTCATGATTCCCATAAAGAAGATTTGTCTAATCCTCCCACTTCTATAAAACTCGAACAAGCTTAAACAAGAAGCACATTATTATATAAATTATTACAAAAAGACAGATACTTGATTTAAAGATACAACTACCTTATTCAAAATAAATATCTAAGCAATTTGTATTTAAGTACCTGAGGTAAAATTACTGTCCTTCGACAATCTTTAACTGCCTCTATATCATTTTTACGAATTGACATTGATACATCAAGTTCTAAAATAATAATTATTATAATACATTTATATAGTACAAACATGGCGGTATATTTTAGGCTTCAAGAAGACTGAAGAAGAAGCTGCCCGAAGATAATATGGAGGAACCTTAGATAATATGAACAGAATAATTGAATCATTTATTGAAGTGATTCTCTAAATATGATTGTAATATTGATCCGATAAATTTATATGTGTGTGTGTATGTGTGTGAGTGAATGACATAAGCCAAATAGCTCATAGAATAGTCATGTATTGAAAATGAATTGAATGCTATTGAAAATAAAAATTAAAAAAAAAAAAAAAAAAAAATATTTTAGGCTCAGGAGAACATAAACTTTAGGACGCTTTCTTGAATAAATTGAAAAGTTTTTGACTTTACATATAATATTTGCAAAATGTGCTTCAAAATATAAGGGAGTTGCCACTTTATTAGCACTTTGCACTTGAAATGCTAAAATCTAGGATATTTTCATCATCATATTATTATACATTTTCATTAAATAAATATAATACATTATCATATATACCTGGTCAGAGATAAATAAGCATACCTGGCCATCACTTGCAAGAAAGACGTGCAATTTGATATTCACAGTTGAAATAACTTGGCACGTGACTATATTAAATTTATCTATTAAATATTCACTAAAACACAATTATTTAGCAACAACTCGCGTGTACAAACTTAGGTTATTTGCACATTCGTGCAGCGATGAAAGGCACGAACGTTATGTAGTTGAAATTGAGCATATGAGCCATCTATAAACAAAGCTTCACAATACTGAATGTCAAAACACGGTAAAGCGCATTTGTTCGGAGATAACTCCGCATGGGCCCTACTCTGCTTTCCCATATGGTATTGGCTGTAGAAGCATCGTTTGTCAGAATGCTTATTTTTAAGAGAAACCATTATATTTTTATTAAATCACATTGATAACAGGAGTTGTTTGCCGTTAGCTGGCACCACCGGCGCAGTTTGAATCTTAGTTGAAATCGCCGAGTGATTTCGGTCTATATTGTCAATATTATTGAGTCTGTGGACGCGTCGTTCTAGTGTGCGAACGTGTGTCACGCTTTATATCAGTTTTCATTTATTTTTGGGTTACGTTCGACGGATACTTTGCTTTGCTGCACGTGTTATGGCATGTGTCTACAACATTTTATTCGTCTTCGATGCAGAATATTATGAATGATTATTTTTGTATGAAGTTCACGAATGTATATATTAAATATGTCTATTTTTTACACGAATATTACCCGAACAATATTGTTGTAAGTGAAAAAATATTTTGATGTTATTTTTTTAGTATAGAATCTGATTTAGAATGTCACTGAGACGTGCTCGAATAAAAGCTGTAGCAAATTTACCGGTTCGTCGAAAGGTTAACACAGAAAGTCAATCACTCGCAAATGATGTCACGACGGAAACAAATAATGAAAATAACCCTCAAGAAATAACAGCTGATTCAGATAGTTTAATTCATCCAGCGCCTTGTATAAATAATAATATTGAAATCAACGATCTGAAAAAACATGAGTTAATATCATCTTCGAAAGAAGCGCCAACACAGTTACAAGAGGGTGAAATTAAAACTTCTGAAACAAAATTGCGCAATGATAAAAACTCTTATTCGGTTTCCACAAATGACAGTGATACAACAAAGGAAAATGAGAATTCTACAAACATTAATCCAAGTGTTGCTAAAGAAAGTCAAAGACTGCAATCTCGCAGAATCACTAAACCAGTTATTAATAGGAGATTACTTCAAACGCCTACTCAAAAGCCTGTTCCACAGACAATTGTTCTTTTGTCCCCGGATGCTTCGAGCACACCTAACACGATAATTAATGATATCACACCAACAAATAAAGATACTTTAAATAAAGTTCATACTGTACCAGGAATAGATCCTTTAGTAAATTGCAACAAAACTAGTTTGTCTGAGTGTGATAACAATGATGTTTTGGAGGTTTCACTTAATCCTCCTGCTTCACCAACTAAAAACAGACAGAGAATCAAACCCACCCCTAGATTGAATCATAGAAGAAGTGGGATACATGTGAGTAAATATTTATTATGTTTTGAGCTTTTTTTTTGTTATATTTTTATCGCTTTTCTGTTAAGTAACTCCTTAATGCACATTTTTTCTTAGGCTAGGTCTCATAAGCAAGCACAAATTTTTAAAATGGCAATAAATTACCATCTAATGTTGTCGATATCTTAAAATATCTTGAAAATTACATTCTTCTATTAACCATTACCTATGGGTCATGCCATACAGAGATGTAGTATTTTGAGACATATACAATTTCAGTGACCGTGACGTTCACAGAGCTCACAAGTATGCTGGTAAATGTTGCCCGTATACGTCCAGAGGTGTGCATTAAGCGGTTAATACTACCACCCTTGAATTGTGTAACCTATTTAATTTTTTATTAATGTTGTATAATAATACTTTTGAGACATATTTTCTTAAAGCATATTTGATTATTGTTTATTGATTGTAATGAACAAGCATGTAAATTCAATACCTAATTGTGAACAGTTGAAGGCATAATGAAGTTTTTTTTATCAGGGAAATGCTAGTGAGTCAGAAGATGAATCACGGAATACTCCATCTAGTAGAAATATTTCTTCGCAAAGTCTTGATGCTTCACCGCCACTCACAAAAATTACCCGAAGGCAAGAAATTTAATTATTAGAATATTACAAATATATTATTTGTACCTAAGATTTCTTATTGCACCAATTAAGAATATGAAACATTATGTAGTAGTTTGTGTAATGAAACAAGTAAACCTTTCAGTTTTGATGAAAGATATGTATGATATAACTCTTATTATTTACTAATTTCATTTTGGAATTCATATTTTTCACATTTGAATTTCAGTGTTGTGATACCAAAGAGAACAGTACGTCGAACAGAGGTCAGTAAAAAACTTGCTGAAGCAAGAAAATCTTTTATTGGAAAGTATGGTTCCAACACACCAGAAAGATCTCAGTTAACGGTGTTTGATATGATATATTATAATCCTTCAGCAAATCCTATAAAGTGAGTAGTAGAAATCAATATTTTTGAGAATAAAACTTCTCATCATCTTGGAAAATGTTTGAGAATAAAACTTATCTTGGAAAGTTTGAAAATTATATTTATTGTATACTCTTACATTTTAACTTGAAACAGTTTTATTTTTATGAGTATATACACTCATTTATGTTTAAACAAAAACAACAAAAAATATATTTTTGAGATTGATTGGCAATGTTGAGCGAGTTTCATGAACTTATATCAAATAGTATATGGGTATATGGGTTTTTAACACCTGAACTCATCTGTTTTAATGTAATCACTATCCACAATACAAATCACATATATAATGGAAGTACAATATGTTTATTCAAGTTTTATGACTAGGCTTGCAACGAATATTTGGTTACTTTTTTATTCGTAATATTCAGCACAGATCATTTCGAATAATATATTTTAGTGTATGAAAATAATTGATAAAATAAGAAGCTAGTGGTGTATGGCATTGTGCCTTTAGGCAAATTGCTGGAACTTTCCGTACCAAAAATTAAATTTTCAAAAAAAGATTAAATATGTTTTAAACTTTGAAAAAATTAGATCTTTGAGAAATTTTAATTTTTTGATAAAAAATGGAATGGAATGGAAAAAGTTTTTTTTAGTTTGAATATTTCGGAAATTTTGAACTTTTCAAAGCAAACGCACTGCTTTAGCTGCATAGAGACGCATATCGAAGCGCTTAAGAGCCGCGTCGGCATATGTGCATATGTCTAATGATAATTTATGACCTCAAAGTGGCATTTTTTTTACTTTTATTTACTGGATCTGAGAAACCGCTAGACCTTCCCAAAAATTTAATCAGTTCTTCACCTTGTCAATACAAGTAAAATGTTTTTTGAATTATTAACATCGGACGCTCCGTTCTCTTAAAATCTGAGTTACCGTTTTTGTCACTTTTTGCCCCGTATCTTCGGAACGGCTAGACCTGCTTTCGCCAAAAGCTAATCAGCACGTCAAATTGTCAATTTTTGAATAATTGAAATCGGTTGAACCGTGTTCTCGAAATCGTCAACGAAAATTTTTATCCGCACACACACACATACATCAATTTTTTCTAAGGTGTGCCAACATTTTCAGAAACCTCTGAAACGTAAAGATAAATAAAAAAATGTATTTTCGAATTTTTTGCGATTACTATAACTTACCCTACGGGAAGTTAAAAACTATTGTTTTTATACTAGATATACGGAAAAGTCATTGCCGTTTTTTTTTTCGGAAAAATAAACTACGGGATTTTCAAGAAAATGAAACTCCGCCATAAGTGATAAAATTAAATTCAGTATTTCAATTTGTTTTTTTACAGAAAAAGATTCTTATAAATTTGTTCTACACTTACTCTATAAAAAATAATATTGACAATTATGTTATGACTTATGTGATTAATTCATCTTCATCAACAATCTTATGTCCTCTTCATCATTTGTATGCGAAGCTTTGTCATTTCAATTTGTTGTTAAGTTGTTATAGTAATTATGTTCAACAGGAAAAAGACATTTTAGCAATTGCATCATGTATTTTTGTTCTTTCCTTGGCACAGTTCTTCCTTCAGGATGTAATCAAGTTTTATTCTCTGATATTTTTTAAACAGCTATCTACTTACTACAAATTTTCTTATATTAAAGGCTCTATCGCCATTATAGCCACATTTGAATTGTATGAAATGCAGTTTAGACCATTATAGCTTTGTTCAGAATTTTAAGCCAATTTACGGTAACTTTTCTGTTAATGATGGATAGTTCTAAAGATTTTGTTGAAAAACAATCTTGTCATTACATCGTACCAGTCATCTGATATAAAATTCTGATTTTTTTGGCACATGTCCCAATAATGGCAAAATATGAGTCATTGGCAAATAGTTGTCCTCTTATCAAAATTTTAATGTAAATTCACTCCGATTTTATTTTTCAGTTTGTAGCCTAAGCCTTGAATTCATTTAAAATCAAGATGAATTTTCTCCAGACCCACGAGATACTACACTTTCTAGTCAAACATACATATGGTTTATATTTTTACTAAATTTTCGTCATCCGTCATGAATACGAAACCCGAAATGCAGCCCAACCGGAACAAATACATTACAAAACGGAGTTAATAAAAATGACTTCCGAAATAAATAACTTATTATTATTCAGTGAGAAAAAAAAGAGTGCGCGTAAGATTCACACGCGATTGAAGTAAAACTCATTGAAGAGAAATGAAGTAATCGCTGATTAATAAATTCTATAATATTCGTTCACACAGTGGATTATTTTAAACAACGCATAAACAAATATTGTTTTCGCAACTTCACTCATTATGTAATTATGTTTGAAGAACTTCATTTAATTAAAATTAACATACATTCATTGACTGCTTGTATTTTTTTTACTTTTTCGCTGGCGATATAATCTCATTTTTTGAACAGCTGTAATATCTGTCTTGCCTAAACAATATTTTCCATTTTAATAACTTCAAAGATTTATAGACTCCACGAATAATATAGAAATAATTTCTAATCAATAAACTTACGTCTAGTACACAGCACAAATGTTTAATTTGTTTTATTATTTTTAAGGAACAGGGTAAAATATTCTTCTGATTCAGGCATTTTCCATTAAATCAAGATGTGTACTATGATGTAACTTTAAAATGTTTATTTACTTCAAAAAATGTCGTTTAATGGTGCTCATTTTTATTATTTTGGAAAGTTATTATAAACACAAAAAGTTACTATTATACCAAATAGGTCTACATACTTTCACACTAAAATCTAAGTTTTCAAAAAGTGGAGTTAGTGTGTGCACTGAGGAGCTCATTTCAGTAATTATTGTTACATAATTATCTTATATATTATGAAATTAGATAACCATATTCAAAATGTAGTAAAAGAGGAAGATTAAAAACTAATTTGTCTGCATTTTTTGGAAGTAGTTCACTTTTTTTTCTCATAGTTCATCCCAGCTTCAGAGAAAAGGTGTTTTGAATGAACCCTTTACACCAGCACTGATAAATATTTTGCCGCAATTTTGAACCAGAACAAAAGTATTTTTAACACGTTCATTTATAATTTCAAAAGTCGTTAATTTTCAATTTACTATAAAAGTAATCAAAAATTAATTTATCACATGTTATCTGAACTTAGTTTCATCGCAAGCTCTTTATCGCATGAAGCACAAACAAAACTTTTGCTGCGCGGTGACTGCGCCTTTCATTTTAATTATTTACTATTTGGACGAAAACTACTCGTTATTCGACAGAAAAGGTGCCGAATATCCAATGGCAACCGAATATTTGATGCAAGCCTAATTTTTATGAAATCTTGTTTAGCATATTTTATTTCAAAAAGTTCTACATTACATTTTTCTTCAGGAGAGATGATAACATTGTTGAAGAAGAAAGGACTATAGATGATCCTAAAGGTGTTGAAGAGGTTGAACGAGCACAGGATGAACAATCAAATGAAGCTACTGATGCTGGAACAGAAGAAACTTCAATGCCAGTTCCACAAATTAAAATTGGGCCCAGCGGAGAGATCATATTGGACGAACAAAGCTTGGTATTTCATAATATCCATCTGCATGTTCATATTTTTTAAGTACAGGAATACCCCGTTTAACGCGGGGGATACGTTCTATCAAAGTAGAGCGCAATGCGAAACAGCGCTAAACGAAGCTTTACAGGAAATATTGGAGTTAGGGGAAGACAGCTTGGAAATTGGTTCGGTAATAAATTTAAAAAGTATGTTATTTTTACTAGAAATAAAACCAAACATTTGTTTCCTAAAGCCCAAATTAATACCACATTATTATTTCTTGCAAAAATAAAAACAAAATATAAATAACAAAACCAATATTCTTGAAAAAAACAAATAACATTCTAAGTCTGTCATATTTAGTTAGCATTCTGCGTTTTTAGTGTTTGCAAAACACTAATGTTGTTCCACTTTTTCTTTTGCCTTGCTCTCTTAAAAGTTTTTTATAAACAGATAGAGCATCTCTAACACCACGCCTTACTTTAGAGCTCCTGTCAAAATTCAGATCATTTTCAATGAATTGATCAATTATTTAAGTTATGGTAGACAAACTCCTTTTTACTTTTCTGCTGAATTACTACTGTCATCATTTTTGTTTTTTTCTTGTTCAGTTCATTTTTTGAGCTTACTATTAGAAAATTTGCACTGCTCCTTGAATTATTTGTTCAACGTTCCTCATTTATCCCGAATAAACGAAACAACGCCAAACGATACGGCGTTAAACGGGGTATTACTGTATGTTAAAACATTTATTGCATAATTTATAAGAGGATTTGCTAGTAATGTTATGCAAAGTATGGTTTATATACACTATGATTGGTTTGAAAGATACTCCACAATACAACTTTATGCAGAAACATCGTAATTAAGAAGTTCCATTCCTTGTTATATTTATTATTATTATCATTGAAGTTAATATATGTTATGTTAATAATTGACCATAGTTTTAAATAATAAACATATTTAGAAAAATCACTTCAAGTTTATTTGCTGATGCAACTAATGCTCGGAAGTGATTTTTTGACTCAGCAAAATTTTCAATACATTTTTTCATCTATATTTTTAAGGGGTTATATACAGTTTCAAGGCCGGAAAAAAGGGATTTGTCAAGAATTTTTTCTGAGAAAACTGATAAATCTATTGATACCATAATTTATACACATATAAAGGCATCTTTTAACTGTATTTTAAAAAATAATTGCAAGTAAAAATATTTAGTTACAGTAGATATCGGGAAGCACCTCTCGAAAAACACGTTTTGCGGTGACCACTCTATCTCTGAAGTAAATCATATGAAATTAAAAACCAAAGAGATTTCATTTTTCATTAAAGTAATGATAAACCTAGTAATTAATTGAAAGAATAAGCAAAATAAAGTATTTATCGGATCGCAAGAATCTATTACTAAAAAAAATTAATTACTAAAAAATATATTTAAGAAGTTTCTGTTTAAATTTGAGATTGCCATTTTGGAGTTATGTTGGTCATCGACTTTGAGAACACCGCTTTGAGAATAACTCGTTTAAAGTTTGGAAAGCCAATTACATGGTGTTTGTGCCAAATTAAAGCATGCTATGTATTGATACAAACAAAATAGAATCAATCCAAAATCATCATAAAATAAAATCAATCAATATGATATTTAAAATATGGTATTTAAAAAATTAAAAATATTGTAAATACAAGTACAATTTATAATTAATTAAAAAATAAACAGATAAGATTATAATTGTGTTTTACAACAAATTGGTCCTTCAAAAATCAATCAATCAAACATAAAAAAAAACACATGGGATAAAAACAAACATTTTCAACTTACGTAGAGTCATCTATTCCAGGGTCTTATAGGAGACCCTCCACCGATTTGGAAACTTCTAATAACTGGAGCTGGTGCCGTTTGCCAGCCATTCTTCTATCATATTGCCTTCATATAATACAATATTGATGCCATTCTTTAATTAAATATGCTGGTGGCTATGTATGCAGCGATTTTCACAGTTTTCGAAGTGGTCGGAAAAATTTTCACATTTTACATTTCACATATTCAGAAATTGCTTTAAAAACACTGTTATAAAATTCAAAATAACACACTCAACAGATGAATCACATATAACTGAATTTTCCTGTAGATTTTTAAATTTTTTTGCCGAGGCACTAATTACTTTTATCGGTCTCAGCCGTGTTTTCATTTTCAAATTTGCATGTAACTTCGAAAATATTCACCGGAATGATATGAAATTTCAATTCGAGGGTGGCTTGAAAAGTTTCCGACCTAACAATGACTCGAGATTATTTTGTTCTTATTTTTTTTATTTTTCTGCATTAACTCATTGTAACTCTGCACACTTATCCCTGTGATGCTGCCATCTCTGTAACCCATCCAAATAGTAGTTGGCAAATTTTTGTCCAAAAAATGTTCATAAAGATCATTACCTTCTCGTTTGACAAAAATCTTTGTCCTCCGAGCGCTGTTTTTGAATGAGGGAACAAGAAGAAATCGACTGGGGCCATATCTGGTGAGTAAGCAGTTTTAAAGCGGACGTTAAGCAGTTCAAACCGTAACTTCTGGATTTTTGCCAGAGCAAAAGAACGGCGCGTTGCTAGGTGAAACAGAATTTTCTTTTCATGCATTTGTTGCCGATTCCCACAATTTGCGCCTTTAGCTCGTCAAGCACTAATAAATTGTTTGCTTCAGCAATGCTTTTTTTTCGATTCCCCATTTTCAAATGTTTTCACAAAAACACATATACATACTTACTCAAACGACTGTCTAAAAACTGAGTGACCAAAATTGCTGATACGTTGGTGAATAACTGCTAAAATGTTCAGTGAAAGACGTGCACACAAAAGACAAATGAAGATAATTAATAAAGATAAATACAAATAAAGATAATAAACAAAGATAATAAATTCATCAGTTATCGAGCTATATAAAAAATGATTGAGCTACCAAAATGACAATCATGAAATGTAGAGATTTCTGGACGGTGAATATGTAGAGTTGTATGTATTTTTTAAATTCCGCATTAAAGAAAATAAAACTAGTGGTGTATGGCCTTAAGGCAAATTGTTGGAACTTTTGTACCGTAATGAAATATTCAATGTTTTATATTAGATTATTATAAACACTGTAACATATGTTTATAGAAAAGCAAATAAACAAGATTTAATCAATTGAATTTAAAATGAAGGACATTGTCTAATATTTATAAGAATTATATACACTGAATGCAAAGTTAAAATTATTCATTTGAAGTATATAAGTGAGCATTAGCGAGATTCAAGTAAAATTTAAGCTTTTTTATAAACTCATAAAATATTAATTTTGTGGTAAAAGGATTTTGGGCTTTATGTGTTTTTCAATTGGCCAATCCTTACTTCTTAGGGTTATGAAAAATAGATTTTGGCTAATTATGCCATTCATCAAACCGTTTCGGAGGAGTCATGATTATTGCACGAGAATTCTTATGAATCGCTAGTATCTCAAAACAATTTTTTTTTATGTATATACATTGAAATTTTAACGTTTATTAATTTATTTATTATTTATTTTTGTCATTTGTAATATTGCGTAAATTAGTTAGACATATTTCATAGAACAACACACATCTTAAGCTCAAACTGTTGCAACGTTTTCAGGGTAATCCAAAATCTATTAAAGCTTAGAAAGCTTCTTATATATTATTGTAAAAAGTATTCCTAAGTCAAACCTAAAAGTGTGCGATCATTTATTTGCAAATGTGTTTATAAAATAGTTTGAGTCAAAGTTGAAGAAAAATCGTGTAGTTAGTTTTCATTATTGTAGTGTGATTGTTGTTTTAATGAATAAATATATTTATTTACATCCTCAGTGTATAAAGTGAAAACTTGATTACACCATGTTTTTAGTTTTTTGCATTACAAGCTGCAGAATTATGCTTGTGTTATTTATGTGTCAACAAAATGTTTTCCATCTAAAACATTAGAAAATAAACATATTTTAGGTAATTGAAACAACAGGAACTCAAAAGGGTAGAGCAGAAATAGCTAATTCTCATTTAGTTTATGATGATGGAAACACCAATTATGGAATTTATAAGAAACGCAGGCGGCCCAAAGATTGGTCGGTGAATGAAACATTGCGATTTTATAAAGCATTAAGCACTGTCGGCACAGACTTTAGTATGATGTCATCGTTATTTGAAGGCAGATCAAGAAGGGATTTGAAATTAAAGGTGAATTATATTTTATTAATAATTTAAATGAAGCCGGCACGTAGTTTTAAAGTTTTATGCATAAAATGTTTATTAATAAAATATCAGTACTTATGCATTAATTTTTGCTACATTTTTACAATTAAATGTAATAATTGTTTGTTTTAGTTCAAAAAAGAAGAGAAAATAAATTTGACGTTACTGAATAAGGTTTTATGCAATCCACATCAATTTGATCTGTTAAGTTTAGAAGAAGAACTTAAACGTGTGGAAATAAACCATGTCAAAAAGAAAGATAAACCACCAAAAGCCGAGGTGATAAAAAAAGTTGTTGAAAAAAAACCAAGACCGCGAAGGAAAAGACACGCTAAACTTCTTGAAATTGTGAGTTCTGATGTTGTTAGTGACAGTGATGACAGCAATGAAGATAATGTTCAATCTTCTCAGAGTAAAGAAATTTTATTAAATCCTGTGGATGATGAACACTTAAGGGAAATTAATAAAATAAAAATTAATACCACAAATGGAATTGTGAATGAATCAACATATGTGCAACAAGTCAATACTGATTCCTTGCAATTCAATAATATGTTCACTGAGCATGACAATACTAATCTAACTTCAACACCAAAGCCGCTTAATAAGAGAGTTCTTGAAGATCTAAACATCAAGGTGTCTAATAAAAAGTTAAAAATTTGTGATAATGACATTGAAAAAGATTGTAATGCATTTACAATAATCAAGAGTGTTGAAGATCGGCAACATAATCTCACAGAAATAGATGAGTATATTAAAGAAAACAATACTGCCAGTAATAGTACAAAGAAAAATAATAGTGATGGAACAGACATATCTGACATAACCGAATTAGACAATTTAAATTTGACAGTCAATGACAGTATATTGAACATAAGCAATTTAGATGATGATACCAATGTTAGGGAAAGTTTGTCAACTAATAATTTAATTATTTTATCTACAAATGACTCTAATAAAAATGACATGGCAAATAATGCAATAAATTCTTTGAATGATGTTCAGCAATTACCGTTCATTCAATGTGGTGCTACAATTGAAAATATTCCACTAAATTCCGATTTATCAAATAGAAATGATAAACAAAATTCAATCTCTTTCGTCAATGAAATTTCAGATGTAAACATTTTGAACACTGGCAATGGAATCATTACTCTACCTTTTTCAGATATGCCAGTAAACACTTCACAATTAAATATCACCGATCTTACTAATAATTATAATATGGATTGTGCTAAATTATCTTCAGCCGGTACTGAAAAATACAATTTAGATAATTCCATTAAACTAGTTGATACACCAGTTAATAATTTTGTGGTTTTATCTGTGCCCGAGGTATCTGAATCAATGGAACTGCATGATAACTCACTAACATTTGCATCTTGTGATAAAAATTTGAGTGAGAAAAATTTAGCAATTAGACCCCATTCAGATAGAATATCATTGCATGAGAATGCTTTGGATTGTTCTGGAAAAGAGACTGAGATAAACAAAAACAAAGGCAAGTCCATACCTGATGAAAAAACCAGTATCAGCCGCCTTGTTGATATTCCTAAACATAAAACTTCAAATCGGAATTTGGATGCACCAGAGATTGTAGGTGAAAAGAACAAAAGTCCTACTAAATATACGTATTCCTATTTCAAAAAAGCATTTGATATTCCGAAGAAAATTTTTAGAAGAACATCTGATAAACCTAAGAAAAACACTCATACAAATGGTAATGTGATTTCGAATTTGTCAATATTATCATTTGTTCCCAAGAAGAAAGTTATAAATTCTTCAGAGCCGAAAAATGTTAGCTCTTCATCTTCAGGTATGAATGAAAATTTGCCTGCACAAGATCTGCTCACATCTACAACTTCTGAGATTCAAAAAAATAATGCTAACTCAAATTCCCCTGGAAGTAGTTTTAGGAGATTTAATATTGACAGTGCAAAAAGAAATGCATTAGAATCAGCGTCATCACGGGAAAGTGAATCTCTTGCTAGGATGTCGATAAAAGAAATAGAATGGCCAGTAGTTGCATATGATAGAATCACTGTGCCAGAATCACAAAATAACACTATTGTTTTATCTTCAGAAGATGAAGAATGTAATGCAATAATTGATAGTAGTTTACCTGAAAATTTGTCATCTGAAAATAACAAAAATCTAGAAAAAAACACAGAAGTGCAGTCTGTTGTAATTGGCACTTCTTCACCTCAACAAGTGAGTACCAGCAGTGAAGATACTCAAGAGGGATTGAGTAAGGAAACACAATCAGAAAAACTTTCTAATACTAATGTGATAAGTAATATTGATGAAATTTTGTTCGATTTTCCGGAACTGCATGATGACTCTGTAGAGCTGGGCGCTCTTGTCATCAAGACTGTTGAAACTTCATCAGATGTGCAATACATGGCTTTCAGGAAATCTGTAGCAAATGCTGCTGTTTTTATGGAGAAGTTAAACATGTCTAACGATCAATTACGGTCAATTGTGGATAGTATGAAAGTCATGAATTCAAAAGATGAAAGTTGATACCAAATTATTTATTGTTGAAGTGTTTATATTTTTTAGTGTTTGTTTTTTTTTTTCAAATTGCTTATTCGTTTGAAGTAATTTTTCATATATTTTATTGTTATATATATGTACAAACATTTGCAATAATATATGGTAATTTATATATTATATTTATGATTTGTTTTTTTATTGCTGTTATCGATTTAAAAATAATCCTCAAATTTTTTGTTTAGTCGATTTTTCAGAATAAAATAACCATGGTTTATTAAAAGTATTATTTCATGCTTTTGTACATTGCGCAGCACTTAATGATTCTTGTTTTTTGATATCAGTGTGTAATAATTTCTTGATCGTTTAATCATTTCTTTCTGTAATACTGTTCCTGTAAAATTTTAAGTTAGTGACATTCCTGATAATGATAATGATGTGATAAGACGGTGAAATCAAACCAGATGTTTTTGAAACACAAAATAATTTATTTAAATAAATACAATAAATGAATAAATAACTAATGTGCTACTAAAACTACTTCAGTTTTGTTCAAGACAACCAGTGTTTGATTTGGCTTTGAATATATGTTACAAAATCAGTTAACTTGTGAGCCATATCATCAATTATATTTAGAGATGTCATTGCTTGTCCGTTACTTAATGCTGTGTTTGTTGAATTATCATCACTGACAAAAATGATCTCATCTTTAGAAATATCTCCATTGTCAAAATTTTCTATGATTATTTTTTCTTCATTTGCTTTTTTAGAGTTTTCTGGATCATGAGTTTCATCGAGTATGACTATTTGGTTGATAACTTCTTCATAATGTTGGGTAAAGTCTTCAGTGTCATCATCTTGGTGTATGCTATTAGAGAATATCATGTTTTCGTTGGACGATTCCTCCGGTATAGCACGTTTTTCTTTGTTGGAAGCTCTTTCGGCATTTGCCGGAATGTTACTAGAAATATCTTCTTCTAAATTTTCCAGGTGCTTTAGATACAGAGGATTTCGTTTATTCTTTAGTAGTTTTCTAATAGAAATTGATGGTTGGTATACTTCTGATTTGTCATCTTTGTTCTTGGTGTCCTGCTTGTTATTTTGTTCCCCTGAATTTAGTGATTTTGTTTTAAGCAATTCTTTATTATGCAGTACTTTACTTAGTCGTTCTTGCAAAGCTTTTAAATCTTGATCAATTTTGTCAGTAATAGATTTGTGATCTAGTAAGGGCCATTCTTTATTCAGAGGAGAATCATCAATATTTATTGGATTTTTTGAAAATAGTTGTTGTAAAGAATCGTTATTATTTAATAAATTTGAGTCACCCTTTGGTTTTTGTAAATTTGTGACACTTTGCTCCAGCAAAGATGGTGCTGAAGGTTTTGTCAAAAGATGTTGAGACAGTAATTTTTCTTTGGCTTCTTTGAGATGATTTTGTAAATTATTAAAGTTATCATTAATGTTCTTAAATTGTTCAGTAATTAGTTCATTGTTATAACGTTCACTAAGCTTGGAAGTAAGGTGGTCATTAAGATCCTGGAAACTCTTGACATGCTTGTCAATTTGTGAATCAAGTGAAGAAGTTTCAATCTGCCTCTTAATCTTTTGATTTTCGCTTTCAAAGGAGTTTTGACTTTTTCTCTTGTTTTTCAAGCTTCTTTCAGATCTAATCTCATTAGTTTTTTTTGTTTTTGTATCAACATCATTATCTAGTAATTGACTTCTATAGTTTATCTGCTTGTTATTTTTTTCTCTGCATATTGATTGCTGGATTTTTTCAACAATTTTTTTTTGCTCATACTAGTTTTATATAATTTCTGTTTTCGTTTTGATAAATCATCTTTCTTGACTTCTTTATTATCTACTAAAGTCTCAAAAATGTCAACTTTAGAATCTGTATCTTTTACAGATCTAGAAAACCTGTATTGGTAAGGATTTTCCTGTGCAACAATAGATGACTGAGGTTGTGGCTTAAAAACTGCGCCAAGTTCTAGGAATTCGTTTTTGTTTATAGCAGGGACTTGGAAATTTTGTTTGAGTTTTGGATTAAAAGCCATATATAAGCCTTGTTCTGTATTGAACCCATAATCTTCATCCTTTTCCATCTGTTTTGGCTGTTGGCTGTATTTTCCATATTGATCTTTTTTGGAGTATGGTTCATCAGCATCAGACTCGATGTAATCGTAATCATTGTCATTTCCTATGTCAGCATATACATCTCCATTGGGCAGAGCAAAATTGTCTCTATGTTGAAAAATGCTTAGTTCAGCTGAATTTTTTTTTTGAAGTCCACTAGTGTAAACGCTTGTGATGATCTTTTTTGCGCCCCTGGTATCTTGGACTCGTTTTGGAAGCAGCTTTTTAGTCTTTTCCACATCTCTTTTTACTCTCGCATCATCTTCTTCTGGCATTTCTCTTTGTTCAGATTTTTCAACATTGTCCAGGTTATTCGCACGCAATTTGGCCAACGGTAATTTTTTCTTGATACTTTCACCTTCTATTTTTTGCAGACAAACTATTTGATTATTCTTATGATTTTCATCAACTTCCTGTTTAGTTTGTACCTTGTTTATATATCTATTTCCAACTCTCCCTTTCAAGTCTTTGAAAAAGTGATAATTGCTGTGTTTCAAAGAATCTAGAATCAGCTCTTCCATTAAATTAGTTGCTGATGTCCGGCGCATTCTGAAAATTTTGTTCGGAGAAGAATGCTTATGTTGATGGCTATTGGCACATAATTTACTGTGAGTTGGAACAACCCAAAATCCAATTGATCTTGCGGGCAACGTGAGAATGATAGATTTTTTAGCTTTGATATTTTTTAAATTAGGGAACGGTTCGCTATTCGTGCTGGCTGATACTCCGTTGATCAAAATTTTGCTAAAAAATAAAAGAAAAATGTTTAATAAAACTTCTCACTCTAGGTATATCATGGGGTAGATATATTTTGTTATTAAAATCTCAATTTCTGCTACTTACTTATCTTTTACGGTAAGAATAAATTCCATTATATTTCCGTCCTTTGGTCGATGTGTAATTTTGACAGCAGTATTAATTTCCTCGTCTTCCAAATTAACACCAAATATGGTTATAGAACCGGTTGATTCGTCAGTAAAGTTAGTTGTGCAGTGGGTGTAAAACTGAACCAGCTCGTCATTGTTCTTCATTGTCACAGTGTCCAATACTGTAGAACCCATTAGTTGTTTGTGGAGCAAGGATGTGAAAAATATCTGTAATGATATTAATTATAAAAAGGTAGGACAGAACGTCATAAATTTTAGACGTGTGTTCTTTGAGTCAATATTGACTGAAAAGAAACAAAATAAAGGAGTTGATTGCCAAATTAATGACAAGTTGAATTAATATATGATCAAATCATATAATTTGTAGTATTAATTTAATTTCAAACTTTATTCTTGGCACTTTTTATTTATTAATTATAATTATTTTAAATATTAATTACCATGTTAGGTTCCATGTTGGCTAACTTGATATCTTGTAGTAAAACTTTATATCCATGGTTTCCTGCATCTCCCAAACTCTTGGCATAACGTAGACCATCTTCTAAACATTTTTTGCAACAACTCGCATCCTAATAAGTTTTTTTTAACAATATTTAGGTTCAATTTGAAAATGCACTTTATAACAATCATACATTGAGGAAAAATAATAATAAATTCTTTTTGCATAACGTTGCTTCGCATGTATAGATTCGACACAAGTTATTTTGTCTCGTATAATTTTCAGCTTCTTTATTAAACATAAATTAACCGATTTAAGAACATTGCATTTTTTAAATTATAGCAAATTAGGCAAAACAAAGTGATAATTTTTCAAATTTTGTTACCTTCATAGATGAAATAGGTGGTCGTGAAAGCCACATATCCGTTCGTTGACTGTAAGACCATCTCAACGCTTCTTCATCGTCATTTTCAATTTCATCTTCTTCAGAATCATCAATTGTGTTTGGACTTCTATAAAAAATTACTATTATCTAATCGAATCTTATATCTTATCTATTAGTAATATCATTCACAATTGTAATAACTTTATCTACGAGGCTTAATTTAGATTAAACGAAAATAATGTATCATAGAATTCCTCACGATTTAATTGTCATTATATTGGCCTTGGGTGAGATTTTGGCATAGTATGCTCTTAATTTATGAGGTTTGGTGTCCCAATCCAGTTCCATGTCAGCAGCAGCAACTTTCCAGGAACCCCATTTTCCACTGTCTGTCAACACATCCACGATGTTGTCAAATGTTAAAATGTCTTCTGAATACTTCGGTATAATGCTGGAATTTAGTTCTGTAAAATGATATGAATTACAATTATTTATTGGGCATTATCGTTTCAAGTTGACATTTCTGTAAAATCGAGTCAACGATTACAAAGTAATATTTGTTACAATTATCCATGCAATAAGATACTCTTAAATGTTTATAATCTCGATAACATATTGCTCTTGCACAACTTAACATCCGATTTTATAAAATAATATAGCGTCTTTTCTATGTTTTGTAAATGTATTCCAGCTTTCACAGAATATAAATTTTCTTCTTACTCAAGTTGAATGTGTTAATTATTTATATTGAAAAGTGATTTTATTATAAAAATGATTTTACTTTGTCCAAACTGCCAAATGCAATTGTCCATTCCGACTTCGCGTGACATTCCTAAAAATTCCACAGTATCTCTTGGATGCCAATTGTTAGGCTCGTAGTCGATGGTGATCACTGGTGTGATATTTGCTGATCTGTATTTTATATCAATAATATATGTTACTGTTTAAAAATAACTAAAATTAATGTTAAACAATATCTTTAACAGTAAATAGGTAGACAATCTTCTCTCTATAATTTGTTTGTAAAATGAATGTTTCACTTACTTGAACAATTACTTTTTCACTTACTTGAACCATTCGTTCCATTGCTGTAAATCTTCCTGTTGGATATTTATGTTGGATAATCCCAATATCCTGACATATGCCGGTGACATCATTTTGGCCAAATCCAGCTGATCGTTTC